GCAAACCTGTTTCTGAGCTCTACAGGCAGTTCTTTTGACCTCAGGGCTTGGTTTTTGCTCTGATATGCATTATCAGCTGTTAGACCTTTTATTAAGACGTGTGTGCCTTTCCAAATCATATCCATTCAGTTGAATTTGCCACAGGTTAACTTCACTTGAATTGTAGTAATATCTACAAGCAAAATGAATGCTCCTGAGCTAAATTGTAACTGTCCCAGATAAAGGTATGAATACTTATGCAATGGAATCATTTTAGTTTTTTATTTGAATTTAAAGCAGTTTAACATAAGGCAGCAACAAAACAAAATGTGAAAAAAATGAAGGGGTATGAATACATTCGCAAGGCACTGTATATAAACACATTATTTAATCAATAAATATTTTAATAATCACTGTAGTCATTGAATATTCATTAAAAATATATTTTTTAAATATTTATTTTAATTTTAATCACTACAGTTCTAATTGATTGCCTGAAATGGAAATAGAAAAACATTAATTTTTTTATTTACTTTAAAAATTTTTTTTCATGTTTACTTATGGTTTTTGTACCAGTAAGATATCTTTGGCCGACCAAATTCACCAGCTGAGATTTTGTGAACAACATGGCTAGACCAGCATAAACCAGTCTAGACTAGGTCTTTTTAGCCAGGAACTGACAACATTACACAACTTATATCTTCTAAGCAGATGTTACTCCATTTTAATCACCACTCAGCTCGCTAACCATCACAACTAGTAATGCATCATGTTTCCTGGCACACGAGCATGTGGACATATTTGAGGACGGCCACGCATGCTCATTCGATTTCATGTGGAAATGACACATCTCGCTTCCTCCGAAGCCCAACTGTATCCCACAGATGTCGAGGGACCCAGATGCGATCCGTGCCGGAAGATCCAGAAGATTAAGAGCTGACAGAAACGCTGCTCACCTGACAAACAGACACTCTTCCTGGGCCAAAAACACGGTCACGGCGCTCCCGGCGTCCAGATGTCGGCCTGAGATAGTCAGCCTGGTCCCGCCGGACACGGGTCCTTTCTCCGGCCGCACCCGGTTAAAACTCGGAGTCTAGAGGGACGAGAAAAGCAGCGCTAACTTCAGAACAGATGGAGCTCACGAAGCGCGATACGGACGCTCAAGCGTGCGCTTGTTTTCCTCATTCTGGTACTACATGAAGAGATTACACTCATCACTGTAATAGAAATGTCCTGTTTGCTCTCACGCCGTGCAGGGCTCGTTTGTTTTGGCGCAGGACCTGTCAGGCGCCGTCCTCTCGCAGTAATTAGTTGCATACCTGTGTAATTGGTCAGAGTGCATGTTTTCATTTGCTTTACCCTTCTGCACGACTGAAGCTGCCTGGACGCTATTGATTAGATGTTGAGGGAATCCAGGCAGGGTCATCCATTTATATATATATATGTGTGTGTGTGTGTGTAAAGCTCCTGGGCTCGGGATAATAGACTAATGCCCTATTCCTGCTGGGCACCACTCAAAACTCAGCGGGGATGAAGGGGTAATTGTGTCATTCTTTACATTCCCCTTTCCTTCAACTACATTATCACATGGGCTCCACAAGTTGATTTGATTGGCTAATGGGATGGAGGAGTGGGAATCCTAACGATTCATCGGTTTCAAGTGCAAAATTCGATTGGCTGAGTCTCAAAGGATGGATTCGTATTGATTAGCTGTGCGTAAATCACCACAAACAAAATGTTAGCAGCGATAAGTGAATCGATATGAAAAGAACGATTAAAATATAACCGCTAGGTGTAAAATCGAAGGCAGCCGCCTCGCTGGCCAGTCAGGTGCCGTTTTGTGTATGAAGGCACCTGGAAACTGCTTTAAAAAGCAAGATGTCATCACATTTAATATTCTAGAACAAATTCAAGCGAGTTTAGAAATAACCCATAGAGTGTTTAGTAATTACAATGCTTATTTCCGGCAGAAATGGAATCATAAATTAAAATTAAAATGATCTTTCCAATTAAAAATAAGCACGGTTGTCATTAAATATAAAGATAAATAAATAAATTTATAGATAAAAACAGTAAAAATGATGAAAGCTAAATTAAAGAAAAAAACTATTGTGATTCTAAATAATGGTAAAAACATAAAAATAAATAAATAAATGTAATAAATAAAATATTAATTAATACTAAAATGGTAAACAGATAATAGAAATGATACATTATAAAGATACATATTTAAAATACATTTTTCTATTCTAAAAATGGTAAAAAATATATAGAAGTAATAAATAAAATAAAAAATATAAATGAATTATGAATGAATGAATTAATACTAAAATGGTAAACAAATGATAAAGATACATATTTAAAATACATTTTTCTATTCTAAAATTATACATAACATAAATCATTATAAATAACTGTTTAAATAAATACAAATTAAATTAAAAAAATAAAATACATATTTTTTAACACACCTAACCTATTTTTAATAGAATATTTAATGACTACAGTGCTTATTTAATTTTAAATAAATAAATACAAATGGACATTTTTTCCAACCACTTTGGCATTTATTCTGTCCAATCGCTGAATGGCACACACAGGATTATGGGATTGAATTAGGATTTGTTTTGATGCCTTCCTTTCTCCATATGTTGCCTGATAAAGCAACATTCTTCAAGTTTCAGAGACAGCCAAGATGTCTTAAGATAACATTGTCCCTTTCCTAAACAAAGAAGTAGAGGACGTACCACAAAAGAGTACATCTGAGATGACTGGGTTCGATACTCAGCGCTGCAGTCACCGATACACAGCTCCACCGGACCACCAGGGGGACTCGACATCAGAGATTCCTCCATATCACACACGATCCTACATGCCAAGAACAAACACAGAAATCACTCTTGCAATAAGCACTGTCCAAACACCAGTTCAAATTAACTAGCAACACGGGAAGCATAACCCACCTCTCAGCGCTGATGTATTCAGACGCAGCAGGGTTGCAGCGAACTCCCGCCACACGCACATGCGTGATCTCTCGAAACTGCAGCCCCAGATTCTCTCCTTCGATGGTCACGCGTGTGCCGCCCTCCTTCGGCCCCGTCAGTGGCCGGATCTATGACGACAGAGATGACAGCTTCTCATTGGAGGATATAAAAGAAACAAATTCTAAGAGCTTTAAAGGTCACCACTTTGAAAGGTGCAGTCTGGGATATCTGTCACGCAGGAGGATTGTCCATTTCATTTGTGCTTTTAACCATATTTGAGGGACAATTTATGAAAAATGACATACAGAAGCTACAAAAGTCTGACAAAACATCTTTAATGAAGAAAAGGGTATAAAGAAAAATGTTAATAAATGAAAATAAATACAAAAATTTTGATTCTAAATCAATAGTAAATTAATAATAAATTAAAAAATGTTATGTCTGAAAATGGTTTAAAAAAACCTACTAAAGATAGATTGATGAATAAATAAATCGTACAGATAAATAATGATTAATAAATATATATATATTTTTTTAAATGGCAAAAACTGAGATGATGAAAATGAATAAATGAACATTTTAAAGCTACAAAATGTTACAAAAGTAAAGATAAATAATAAAGATATAAATAAATATGTTCTACATTTAAAAAAAAAAGGTAAATGAATGGGTAAAAAGACAAATTCAAGAATAAATAAATAATAAATATAAATAAAGGTAATTAAATAAATAATTGTAAATCTAAAAATGTAAACAATTGAGGTAAATAATAAAGATGAATAATAAAGACAAAATAAATACTGTGATTCCAAAAAAAGTAGTGCTGTCAAACAATTAATCGCGATTAATCACATCCAAAATAAAAGTTTTTGTTTACATAATATATGTGTGTATACTGTGTATATTTATTATGTATATATAAATACACACACATGCATGTATATATTTAAGAAAAATATGTTGTTTACATATGAAATATATTTATATATAATATAAAATATAATAATATGAATATATAAATGTATAAACATGTACATATTTTCAAAATATATACTGTATGTGTGTGTATTTATATATCTGTCAAACGATTAATCGCATCCAAAATAAGTTTTTGTTTACATAATATACGTATGTGCACTGTGTATATTTATTATGTAAGGAATAATTGACTCTGGGCCGTTGAATTATTAGAAAAATAATGCACACCCGAGGCTTCGCGTCGTGGCCGCATCACCACCTCGGGTGTGCATTATTTTTCTAATAATTCAACGGCCCAGAGTCAATTATTCCTTACATAATAAATATACACAGTGCACATACGTATATTATGTAAACAAAAACTTATTTTGGATGCGATTAATCGTTTGACAGCACTAAAAAAAAAGTAAAAAAATAAACAAATAAACAAAGATGAATAAGCAAACAAATAAGTAAAAATAAAATCAAACAAATTTAAATTATTTATAATAAAACAATAATATTATAAAATGACTTCCATTCTTGACAGATAAATAAAATAAAATGACTTTCATTCTTGACAGAACTTATTTACCACCTACCCAGTGTCCCTAACATAATTCATGTATTTCCTCACTGTTTACTTTAATGTTTTAGTTAGGGCTCATCTGAACACAAGGATGGCTTTCAGATGACGTGTGTGTGTGTGTTACCTTAGTGATTCGGGGATGGCTGCAGCGTACGTTGCGGCGTCCCTGATGCATCCAGTTGTGTTCGGGTGATGGACAGTGTTGCTTCAGGAGACACTTCTTATCGGCCAAACACCAGCCCACACACACACAGAGAGTGAGAATATAGCCATACTCTCAGCTGGGCAGTTAAACGCAGGCCATGTTTGGAGTGGTGCCAGCTGTGCGGTGCCAATCGATAATTGAACTGTAAGGGGAAGGTAGTCGAGGCGAAACCCACGCCTGATTTCACTGTGCCGTGATTCATGTGCTGCCCACACACACTAATAACTCTGACCCGAGGCCTCGAGGAAGCAGAAAACCAAGGCGTTCTGCTGTAGTGGGTGTAGAGGTTCAATTCTATACACAGTGGCTCTGTTCCAAACTCTAGTGAGCTCACTCGCTGGTTACTGTCTACACAGACAGCATCCTAACAGATATAGAACCGCATGTGAGTGATTTGAAATGCTGGTCACAAGTAGCAACTCATTTTTGCACAGAGACTAAACATATGCTCAGCTTATTAAACATTTTTCAGTAGTAAATACATATATTTGTATCGAAAATCTTAAAATAACCCCATCTAGAAGCAAATAATGTATATAAAAGAAATTATTTGAATGTTTAAATATGCCAGTAAGACACGAAACATGTTCATAGTATAGAAAATCTGGAAATATTGACTGATATTTTTGAATATTTAGAAAATGTCATATTCAAGCTTATGAGGTATCCAGTTTTGCTGCCTACTTTTTGTAACAATATTTATATTACAAATAGGATTAATATTATTAGTTATAAAAATAAGTGCTGTCAAACGATTAATCGCATCCAAAATAAAAGTTT